CTGTACTACCCTGGATCACGACATCCCTTTGAATGTCAGGTCTTTTGATAACTGTTTCAATGATTTTAGATTCCAAATTGCGACTGTTCTTAAGACTTACTGTAACTTTAACATCTTTCAAATGATCACCAAACACGAAGTCGCCTGCATTTATTCGGGTAGTAGACTCAGGTGTCTCATATTCCACTATTTTGAAAACTTCCTCGTTACTCGTATGTTCTGGACCATAACTTTCAGTGCCTGAATCGGAAAAGAAACCTTTTGGTATGTCAATCGTTAAATATTCCATACTAGGATTTCTGTGAGATTTCACAATGTTCTTGGAATGTAGAACAACTTCAATCTTTTGAGCGAAAGCTTTTGATTTATCTATGACCCATCTTTGGTCGGATATTCTCACTTGAATGTTGTTTTGATTTTCCTCTTTTTGATTGCTTTTGTTGGGGTTAGATGTGATTGCGTCCGGCACTAATTTGGGTACCATCCATGCTTCAATGTCTTGAACGAAATTGACTCGCTGCCTTGGGCTGGTCTTGTAGAACGAAGATTCTCCTGTAGCTATCTCACTTTTGGAGCGAAATATGATACCAGTGTCTTTATACACGTTCTCCATAATTTCAAATATGGTACTACTACTTGTCGCATAAGCATTGTTATTCCAACGAACTTTCACACTGTTTCTCGACTCTATTGTTTGAGCCAAAAACTTTTGAAGCCAAGCTCTTCTGAACATATCTTCGTATTCTTCGGGAATTGTATCAATTATTTTGCGGGAATCTTTATGTTCTGACTGACCTTGTTTGGTAGTAGCAGCGCCTATCTTTATCATTAGACCATCACCAACTTCACACCTTCCAGCTGTTACTCCTTTCTTTTGTTTATACATTTCGACAGGTTTCTCTTTGCTTTTCTTTTTAAAAAAGAAGAACCTCTTGCCGTCTTTTTTATTGCTACTTTCATTTATTATTGTGTTTTGTTCTTTGCCTTTTGAGGTTTGAGCGATTTCACTCTCGTCCAGATTGAACTTCTTTCCCCATAACTTAAACATGCCCGTTGCTCCCTGATAACTGGCATCATCGTCTTCTGCTGCATTGTTATTTCGGCTATTTTGTGGTACTGCAGATGGTTTTCTGTATTCTGCTTTAGGAGTATACTGTACCGCGTTCGGAAACGGATTTCTTACTTTCACATCAGAGTACGATCTACTTATTAAAGAGGGTGGGTCGGAGGCAATCGAGACGTCTCTCTTACTGAGCTCACTTCCATTACTGGACTCCTTATCAGCAATTTTAGCGTTTCGCTTCGAATCTTCCTTTTTAGCTAAACCACGTCTCAACGCTTCAAAACGTCTCCTCAGCAAAGAGGTACTTTTCATACTGGACGAAGTATGTTCTTCTTCTGTTCTCTGATCTTTAGATTCCTTCGATTTCGGAGAAAACATTTTTCTGTACTCCCTTTCAAGTTTATTTTCCATCATATCTACATGACTTTGTTTATCCTCGCTAGGATTCTCTAGATTATGAACATGCTCAACTAATGAATCAGAGGAAAAAACTCTCTCAGCCTCTTGAGCTCTTTTGCTGATGCGTTTCTCTTTCGCATTCCCATCTCCAGGAACAGCTGATAATTTTTGGTTAGACTTGCTATATTTCACATTTTCTTTATCATGTTCAACGCTGACTTCCACAGTTCTCACTTCTATTTTAATATCATCTAGTTTCGTAGCTTCGTCGATCTGTGTTGATGTCGATGCGAGCGCTTTGTCTTGTGTATTGCTACCGATTTCGACATTGTTTCTCTGGTTTTCTGCACTCGATATGTCGGGACTTGTACTCCCTGATTTAGTATGTGTGATAATGGGTGATAACTTTTCGTGTATAACTATAATTTTATCATCGGCCGCAGCTACAACGCCTCTTGTTGATATGTTTGTGTTGTTATTGTTATAATAGTAATTGTTTGCTAAAGGCCTTGCTTTCCCTTAAAGAGAATAATGAAAGTTTAGTTATTAGGAACAGAATTTAACTTTTTTAGCACAACTAGAAGAAGCATTTGTGCGTCGCCGAGCTCCTCAATGATAAATTCACATTACCTGTAAAATATGTCGTAATGAGCTCGGAGCTTCCAACACCTCTGTCGTCAGTGTCTGGCAAATATATCTTTTTGATTTTCTTTCTTTGTAACGCTTTCACACTGCCCACGCCGACGTCTGTGTAACTTCTGGTGCCCTGGTATGCATACACGTGCCTTGGTTGATTACTGAAATAACGCACCTGTAAAGCAATACCTAATCTTCTTAATATATATAAGTTACGCGTCACTTTGTCCAGGATAGACTCCTAACTAGATAGGTTAAGTAGTAACCGATTTTAATGAAATTTGCACACCCGTGTGCAGTTGGATCCAACTTGTAAGATAGGATAGCTTACATCTCAATTTATAGTGGCAATGTTTTTATTGTAAATTATTAGTTTTGGGTGGTGCGAAGTTCGCCGAGTCAGCAGCTAGTAGGTAGATATATAAAATTCTCATGTATCTCATAGTGTTTGTAAGAAATCTCTTCCTAAACGGCTAGACCGATTCTTAAATTGTATGGGTATATTCAGTAGGTCTCAGGATAGAATGTTAAATGATTTTCATACCACTATGCGATAAGGGTGGCCACCGCAAAAGTTTTTGGACATTTCTTTAAGATTCGGCATTGAATTACATACAACCCAAAATTTTCGCCCTTCTACCACCTACCCCTATTTTTACGGTGGTGCAAAGTTAGCTGGGTCAAAAAAAATCTTTTTATAAAAAAAATCATATAGATAACTCCCCCCATCTGGAAACCCAAGCCCTAAGCACGAAATATCGAATTCGAATAGTTTGCGAATGCGAAAACAGCAACGCCACAACAGACGTCACGAGAACTAAAAAGCAGTACACATTTGACGTATAAAATTGATCAAATTCGATAATGGTTCGTGCTAGGGGTACTGATGTTAGACGCGGTGAAGTCCCCCAACGGGGATCTTGCGGTTCCGCACTTAGACAGCGTAAAGGGTATTCGCAGGATGTTTTTAGCCGGATAGTATGCCGTAAGCGCTCGTAAGCCGCGCGGACTGCTTAACGGCTTATCCGTTTCGCACCCGTGAGACTTACGAGAGGCCAGGTGTGAGGTCCGTTCGTTGGTATGCCCCTTAAGGGCGCCAACGTCTGTAAATAGAGGTAAAGGGGGAACTGATGTTAAGTGACGCTCGAGTCCACACGCGAAGATAGCTAGTGCAGTGCAAATTTGAAGGTACGCAACACAACGACCGTATCTTTCTTTTACGTTAACTTACATGTCTGTTGTTTTTTTCACAGATTAAAGGGAGCGCAGACTTCAATATATGGGTTAAATTTTAACTCAAAACCTCCACGCGTTGCTGAGATAAAGGGTTTTGGCAGAAAAACGGCCGTAGTTTAATTTCCGTTTACTTAGAAGTCTGTTTTTTTCATAGCTTCAGGAGACCGCGGACTTGAATTTAAGGTTTAAATTTCAACTCAACGCCACGCGTTCCCGAGATAAAGGGTTTTAGCAGACATACGAAAAAGGGCCGTATCTTTCTTCTCACTTTAACTTACAAGTTTGATTTTTTTCACAGCTTCATGGCACCGTTAACTTTAAGTATATAGTTTTAATTTCAACACGATACCACAACGCGTTTCCGAGATAAAGGGTCTTGACAGACGTTTGTATGGACAGTCAGACAGCTGAGTGGTTCAGTTGGTATAAGGGTACCGTTTTTTCTCTTTTGAGATACGTAACCCAAAAAAGTGGAACTCCTGTCATTTATACATACCTCTTGGTGTCTCCTTAGCCCCGACACATTTCTGCAAGTGCAGATATTATCTGTTAAATAATTATATTGCACTCCGATGTCTTTGGTTGCTTCGTATCTATATAGTTTGGTGGATAAATAATGCCTATGGTTGTGTTTAGAGATATATACAGCTTGTCCCTCTCTCATTTCTCCTTTAGCATAATTTCTTCTTTTATTTTCATTGCGTCCTGTAATTAAAGAGCACAAATCTTAAATTTCTCTTTATTGAACCTTTGCCTTACTTAGTAAGTAGAACTCACCAATTTATTTCAATTTCACAATCGTATTTTTTAAAATTTATAAATTTGACTGGAATTTTTGATTAATCAGTTATGTTGTGACAGAACTGTTGTATGTATCTCATTTAGTTCTTTTTTTTCTTCTGGTATTTGCCAGTGTTTTGAACTCGGCCTTAGATTAATGATTATATTCTGAGAAGGAATTTTGTGTAAGGAGTATATGGAAAGTATTGTAGCCTCTAAAGAAGAACATAGACATTTGGACATTTGCTGAGATGTCATTATTGCCACAAATGTCATAATTGCCGCCTTTGACAGATTTGTCTTAATCTCGGAAGTATTTGATAAAAAAGACGGTATTTTTTTGATACATGACACATGTAAACAAATATAAAATTAATCCTTGAGATGATCCAACCAATCATCGGATGTAATAATGTAAGCAGTTCATTTCTTTAGTTATTGTGTTTAAGAAAAATTGCGGTTTTCTTTACTTCTTTGAGGTCTTTAATTATATACACGCCTAGAGAGAAATCCTAATAAACCACACAAAGAAAACTTCAAACAGGCTCAATTTGACTCTTAACGTTAGATTGTTTGAAAGCAGTCAATGTGTGCGTGTGCAGCGACAAATATACCATATGTAGTACATATTTTTTGCGCCGCTTCTGTACAGTTACTACAGTATCTAGGCGTGTTACAATCAAAGTTTCAGGTATCTTAATACACACAAATCAAGATACTTTACACACCTTGCCGACTACTGGGGTCGTTTCTACCGATGTGAATCGGCCCATATGGAAATTCTATGTCACTGGGTAGACATCAATATAATAGGCTGATGATGATGTAGAAAATCTATGTAAATAGATATTCATAAAAACTATTGAATGTTACAGAATCATTTCTTATGATACGAGAGGGGAAATACAAAGAAGTGAAGATAAACATAACTACATTCAAAAGTAGGAAGCCAGATACAAAACCAGAAAACAATATCGTTAACATGAATGACAATAGTTACAAGAAACATAATCATAAAGAAACAAGCAATAGATTCATATGCTCGATATGTCTTAATGCCAATACTCGGGATTGCAACCAAGAATTTGGTAGGAGACAATCTATGTCATGCCCTAAGTGCAGGCAGAGTTGCGACTTCGATAAGCTATCTCCTCGAATTAAAACAAGAACTGTACAAACCTCAAACAATGATGTCAATCAAGATTTAAACCTTCTTAAGGAAGTGTTGACTGTATTTAAAAACAGCAAACAAGTCGTCAAAAAGTCTGAGAGCGACACACTCAAGAAAGATGTTTCCGTTGAAACAGACATGAAAATAAGTCTCAGACACAAGCTTTCCAAAAGTCGTACATTCCAATTCTCGATTGCAGAAGACAGTGCTGCCAACAAAGTGAATAATTGCAAAGTTATTCATTATTCTGAACCTGATAATGTTAGGAGATCGCATTTCGGGCTAGATTTGAGTAAACGCAAATCTTCGTCGATACCGCAGATGAAAATTGAAGAGTTGAGACACTCTTTGAAGGAGAAGACCACGTCCAAAGATGCTATCGAAGAAGTCAACAGAATGTTTGCAACTGTCCGAAGAAATGAAGACGAGAATAGACATAACAGACCGTTCGTTAGAACCGGACCACGTGTGCTGCCAGTCGTAAGAACTAACATCGATAATAAAAAGAAAGAAAGTTCCGAATCGGACACAGAGAAATTGACTGAAAATACTCCTTGCAAATGTTGCCACGCTAATAATTGGCAAATGTCTGGTGGCGATTCGGCTTACAAACAGGAATGCTGTTACCAAAAGGTTGCTTGTAAGGGGGACTGTGAAAAATGCATCTACATGGTGTGCTGCCATCATGAAAAACTGGATAAAATGGAGAGTTCTGCGTATGTGTGTGAACGATGCAACAAAACGTAACAGTAGGGCGACACTGGACAAGAATCAAGTTATTTTTGAGTTTAAAGTATTTTCTTTACTTATTCCTACATATTTATTGTTTATTTTGGAATGTTTATTTTTTGAGATAAAGTTTATATTATTATGTTAGAATATTTTTTTATTGTATAAGCTATTTAGTTGAATGGTCTGCTTTATTCCGTGATCCCAACCTATAAAGAGACAGATAGAAGTAATATAACGATAAATGCTTCCAAAAAACCAGTGATTTAGAATTACGATAGTCCTAATTATTTATTTATTTATCTATATATATAAAAATGAAACCCCGTTTTCCGTTGTCACGACATAACATGAAAACGGCTTGACCGATTTGGCTGTTTTTTTTTTGTAGTTTTCTAATACTCTGTACAAGGTTCTTACGGAAAAAATATAAAGAAAATCTCTCAGAAAGATTGAAAAATATAACGTAACGAATGTCAACGTCATTCAATTTAAAACAAAAAATCTGTGGTAATCTGTGACACCACATCGATAACCGCGCTGACAAATGTCAACGTCATTCAATTTAAAACAAAAAAATCTGTGGTAATCTGTGACAACACATCCATAACCGCGCTAACAATGAATAGGTACTCATACTTAAGATAGGTCAGCTATACAAATTAAAGTAGTGCATCAAAGCTACGCTAAGGCGGTACGAAGTTCGCCGGGTCAGCTAGTTAGTTATACAAAACAGATTGCATTGTTACATATTATTGATGGTGAAAAAATACTACAACACTAGTGCCAGAGTTTTTAAGCGTCGGTCGTCCTAATTGGCCACGATCGTACGATGACACGTTACGATCGTCGTGCGATGAAAATAATCGTATGATGATTGAACACTGAACAGTCCTAATAGGTGTCCTAATAGATCGCGCGATGCTCATCGTGCAACTTGTGATAAGTCGACATTTAAGATTCTTTATAGGAAATAGGATACTCCCGTCGTAGATTTGCGAACTGATGGCGTAGCTTTTCGACATTCACAAGTGCTTGTAACAGCCTAGACTGAAGAAACGATATTAAACTTTAGATTTTTTTTTATTTTCAAAAAGACACCGAATATATTTTTTCCTACATGATCGTAAAATCGTTATTAAACAATGCCGGAGCTCGTGCGACGGCTTCAAAGTAAATAATATCGACATTTCTGAAGAAATCTATAAGTTTATTTTAAAAGTCATCGCACAACGAGAACGCAGCGAGTCATCGTACGATCGTTGTTAATTAGTACGACACCTAAGGCTTAGAGGATTGGATAGAAGCCATCAAGGTCAGGATGGCTGGGGTTGTATCTACTGCCGCATCAACTGTCTTCATGACTGGACACTTCTTACACTATTCAATTCTTGAAGACATCACGGACAAGAGTCCAAAATGATGCAGTAAGTGTGAAAATCAGTTGTAGTATTTTTTGAAGTTATACTTCTTTAGGCGCGTTATGAAAAAATGATGAGAGTGAAATTTTAAGATGCGCGCGCATCACTGTTACACAAAAAACGACCAACTTCATGCGTTACTTTTGTGTTTGCCGCACATTAAGGAAATCTACCAACAAAATAGAAATAGAATCTCTATTTAGTGGGTGCTAACGACTGCATTGTGAAGGCCTATCAAAAGTATTTATTAATCTGGAACGACGGAACCAAAGCGCGATTCAGGAGACTACAGCGCCATCTCTTGACCATTGGTGTAGGTAGAACCAAAAACCACATCTTTATTTTTTGTAATAAAGTAACAGTTATAGGTGTTCATATTTATAATATCAAAAGTATTTATTAATCTGGAACAACGGAACCAAAGCGCGATTCAGGGGACTACAGCGCCATCTCTTGACCATTGGTGTAGTAGAATCAAAAACCACATCTTTATTTTTTGTAATAAAGTAACAGTTATAGGTATTCATATTTATAATATTTATCCACATGTTTCTAGTTTGTATATTCGGAATACGTGTTTGAGTTTCATACAAGTGCAAATCACATATGTTCTAATAAATTATATTCAGTAGCGATTTTAATTGAATATTTTGATTATTTATTTATTTTTTCAAATTAAAACTGAACTTTATTGACTGTGTCCTTTTCCAGACTTTTTATTAATTTATTGTGATTAATTATTTGCATGCAATTAAAAACTAATTTTAAACGATGCCAAAGAAGGATAACTTCTCACGCGCCTACATAAGTACACGCACCCATTTTTTTTTAAATTTGTGGTTTTAAGAGTTGTAGTCTTTACATCCACCTTACGGAATACCAACGATGACAGATGCTTGTTTCATCATCAGCGTATTAATGTCCTCACTGCTGGGGCACAGGCCTTCCCTATGGATGGAATAAGGATACTGGACCATGATCCACCACGTGGGCCCAGTGCGGATTGGCGGATGGTAACGACTGCAGACGCAGCCGGGGCCAACGGCTTAATGTGCCTCCCGAAGCACGGAGGAGCTCGAGATAGGACATCGACGAAATCGGCCCTAGCTTGCCCAAAAGAATGTCCTTCACTATTATCTTTCTATTATTTTTTTAACATATTAGCAATTAATCATAGTAAACGGACAATCTGTTTAAAAAAATAAAGAAATAAAGTTCTGTTACTAGATACTACAGTCTATTCATCCAACTTGGCACTCCTTTTTATTGAAGAAACAGCATTAAAATTCAACTGATAACTAAATTCAAAAGGTTTCAGTCTATAATAACGATTTATTTTAATAGTTTATTAGCTTCGTTAATATTTTATTATTAAATGGGTCATTCTGTTAAAAAGTTGTGCCAAGATTGTTTACCTTAATAAATGCATTAGAGGCGACCATAGGTATTTATCAAAAGAAAAATAGAGATACCTTAGTTAATAATACTTATTACTAGTATTATATTTATAAAAAGATTATTTCTGAAATTATGTAAAGATAGTTTATACTCACATTCCATGTAATATCTGTTTATTTTTATGAAAATCATAATGATAACCAGGTACATACCTAATTACCGATAGTAAAATATAGAAACAGGTAAATGGAAAGACTGAACATTTCATTTGAAAAGAAATCTATTATTACTACAGGTAAGGTATAGGTATCGTAGGTGCCAACTGACAACACTCATTAATCAATATGAATATAAGCATTTATTATTTTTATTATTAATTGCATTTTATGTTCATTTAATGCATATTATTTTAGTACTTACATAGAGGTAAACACTAAATCTATTCAGAATATATAAAGTGTACATCTTTTACGATTAAGTATAATAATTATAACCTCAAAATCAAATACATTCTGTAGTAGGCCACGGTTCCTCAAGTTGTCCGTATCTCAACAAATGCCTAATTAGAGTTTATGAATGATTCCGAACACAACTAGCATTTTCTCATTGCTGGGCGTTCTAGGGCATTCAATGTATGGGGAACGAGCAATGTCCTTTTTGGTCACCCATCCTATGACCGACCACTGCGAAAGTTGCTTAACTTCAACGATCGCAGCCGAATGTGCTAACCACTTGCGCCATCGAGCAGGAACAAATAACCTGAAGAGTAATAGCTCTTCGTCTTTGTTGTGGTGCAATTTCTACTTTTCCTTGTTATCCACGCTTATGTTAGGCCTGGGTCTGTGAATTTGAAAAACTCGGATCTAGTCTTCGTGACTTTAGTTTACTCAAAAAATACTTGCTAGTGTTGCCGATCGATAGTCGACTATCGATGATTAATCGATAGTCTATCGATAACCAACCAATCGTATGACAATAGATCGGCTTATCGATAGTATTGATAGTATCGATACTATCGATAGCACAGAAAAAGCCAATACTATCGGAGGTGTTAAATACTATCGATAGTATTGTAGTTTGTTAATAACAAACTATCGATAGTATCGATACTGTCGATTTTATTTGCAACCATACTATCGATAGTTTAACAATTTGCAATAGTGTTGTTTACACTTTTCAGGTATTATAGTCAATCACAAACTTTAGTCTAGGACAATCGCTAGTGTCGATACTATCGATAGTATTGTTGCAGATAAAATCAACACTATCGATAGTATCGATACTATCAATAGTTTGTTATTAACGAACTACAATAGTATCGATAGTATTGCACTCATTCGATAGTATTGCCTTGTTCTGAGCTATCGATAATATCGATACTATCGGTAGTATCGATTCTATCGATAGGGTACATGATTTTCGATGTAAACTGTCGATAGTTTTAATATCGATAGTTCGGCAACACTAATACTTGCTGCAATTTCTCTGCGTTACCATTACACTCACTGAACACAAGGAGGTTAGAAGGCTTTGTGAATAGGGCAGGCGCATCACTGTCATATTTAAGGCGCTGTATTGTAATGCCCTTTTTTGAAAGCTTATTACTAGACTTAGACAAAGCTTTCAACTGTAATTTTTGAAGTTATACTTCTTTAGGCGCGTTATGAAAAAATGATGAGAGTGAAATTTTAAGATGCGCGCGCATCACTGTAACACAAAATTTTAACAGCATGAAGTAAAATACTTTTGTGTTTACCGCTCATTAAGAAAATCTACCAACAAAATAGAAATAGAATCTCTATTTAGTGGGTGCTAACGACTGCATTGTGAATGCCTATCAAAAGTATTTATTAATCTGGAACAACGGAACCAAAGCGCGATTCAGGAGGCTACAGCGCCATCTCTTGACCATTGGTGTAGTAGAACCAAAAACCACATCTTTATTTTTTGTAATAAAGTTATAGGTATTCATATTTATAATATCAAAAGTATTTATTAATCTGGAACAACGGAACCAAAGCGCAATTCAGGAGACTACAGCGCCATCTCTTGACCATTGGTGTAGTAGAACCAAAAACCACATCTTTATTTTTTGTAATAAAGTAACAGTTATAGGTATTCATATATATAATATTTATCCACATGTTTCTAGTTTGTATATTCGGAATACGTGTTTGACTTTCATACAAGTGCAAATCA